CCATCCCTCCCCGGGCTCCCCCCCGCTCCGTCCCCAAAACGAATTGATTGTATTTTTCCCTTTGTAAACAAAGGGGGAGAACCAACCGTCTCCTAATTTTAACCAGTACGTGAGGGACCAGGGGGCCATGACGGACCAGCTGAGCCGCCGGCAGGTCCGCGAGTACCAGCTCTACAGCCGGACCAGCGGCAAGCACGTCCAGGTCCACGGCAAGCGGATCAGCGCCACCGCCGAGGACGGCAACAAGTTCGGTAAGGGGCTCTGCTCACCCCCCAAGGGGGCTCATCTGCACCTTGTGACGGCCGTGGAAGGGCTGGAGGTGTCCATTCGTGGCGGGGTTTTATAGGGAAAACAGGGAGAGTGGCCCTCAGGGAAAGGTTTTAATCGTTTCAGGTGGTTTTGTACCCAAAATAACCCCCCGTGAGTTGTCAACATCCAGCCTTGACCTCAAAGCTTCCAAAATCCTGCGTTTCCCTGACGCCGCGCAGCATTTTTAAGCCCTGTATTTAGGGCTTTTGCTTTCTAATCTCTTCCCAGTATGAGATAAGCAACTTTTACTGGAGGAGAACCACCTGATCCCAGTAACAGCCCCTTAAATATCCACAGGGGCAGAGCCACATCACCTTTCCCCATGGGCTTTGCAGGGGTCCCCCGGCCCTGACACCACACTGATGGGCATCGCAGCCCCGCAACGGCCAGGGGGGCATCCCCAGCACTTAAAATCTTCAGAAAAAGGCTTTTTAGGGGTTTTTCAAAGCCGTTGAGGTGGCTCCAGCACCTTTCCAGGTCTCTTTGCCCACTCAGCCTGTCAGGGACCCGCCGGGGTCATCGGTTTCAGTGTTGGCTCCCAACCTCCGCAGCCACCGAAACAATGAGGACGAGGATAATTAATTAACCCGCCGGCCGCTGGGCCCGCTCCAGCCTTGGCGAAGCCATTGAATCGCCGACAATGCGGATGTGCCGGGGCAAGGGGGGAGGAAGGGGCTGGTTTTTCCCCCCCCCGGTGCCTTCATCCATCACCCGGTTTGACTCTGGTGGGTTTTAACAAAAGCCCTTTAGCATCATGGCTGGGGAGCAGCCACCCGGCTGCGGGGGCTTGCCATCCTCCTCACGGGTGACGGGCAGGGGGGCGAGGTGGGAAATTGGGGTGGTT